TTCCCTTCCCACCCAGCTACGCATTCACCAGCGGGAGCTTAGAGTGCCTTCAACAAAGTCAGGTGAGAAGCAGGAATCCAACTCCTCCAGGGCCATGGGGGTAGACTTGTCTTGCTCCTTGGACAAGTGTCCTGAGAGCAGGGAGTTATGCAAGAGAACAGCCTCCTTTTCTTACATTTGCCAAGGACTCAATTCTGGATGTTGGCACACCGAGACAGACTGTAAGAACAGAGCCTTCAAAGCTTAAGCTCCATTTAGTCTTTGAATTCCAACTCAGCTGTTCAGGCTGAGCAATGCTATCCCCATCCATAAACAGAAAAGGAAGTCACCCTTCTGTGGTTAGGCTTTTCTAGCGTTAGCTCCTGAGTAAAGGTTTTTTGGACTACACTATTAGATTTAAAGGCTGTAAGTTTCCAAAGCCATTTTTCGAACAAGAATTACTAAAGGGAATGTGCTGAAGTGTTTTCATTTACCTTGCTATTCTTCACGTAGTTGTGGTATCCCAATATTAGCTGATAGAGCATTATACTGTACATGCATCCAGTAGCAGTGATTACAAACAGACAGAGTCTGGTTTAGTCAGCCATCTTCTCTCCCCGTTATATATGCACACAATGCCCTGAGCCCTGGCCTTGAGGGTGACAGTAACACACGATGGGCATTTGGTAATCTTGAGAAAGCTTCAGGCAGCAACCTCTGTTACCCAACATTTAAGACTGGTATTTTCTGTCCTTTAAAGCTACTCATGCTTACTCATGCATGTGTACTTCACACACTTTTAAGATCCCAGCAGAATCTGGAAAAGAAGATGGTTGTCTGTAAAGCAAAAAACCAATAGGAACAGACTGAAGGCTGGTAAGTGGCAGCTGCCAAGGTAGGCAGACATCTTGTAGCATGTCATTGAGGCAGGGGAAGAGGATAAATCAACTACCCATTTGCAATGGAAAATTTTTATTTAAAAAGGATGACTGATAACAACCCACAGCCTCTCATTGGCCCGCGTCCTCTTTCATAAGCTCCCTCTCATGCCAGCTATATTTCCTGTGGGTTCTTTAGCAGTCACGGAATAAGAGAAAGGACTGATAAACCACACACTACAACATGAAAAAATAAGGCATGCAGTACTGCCTCTCTGCATATTCAACACTAACTAGAGAAGCAGAACAGTGAAAGTTAACAATTATAACATTAGAAGAATTATGCAGAAATATTTCAAGATCTGTAATCTAGACAAGTAGTTGGGAGACATTTCAATCATAACTCTTCGTGAAAAGATGTTTCTGCAAAGATTTTCTTCACAGGTTTTCCTCTGAAGAGGCTGATACTTCTTTTCCCCCTCTCCAGAGAAAGCCAGAGACAGCGTTTCAGTTCCCACGCCATAAGTGGTCTCCCAAACTGTCTAGAATATGAAAGGTGCAGAACATTAACATTTTTTCTTCAGTATCTTCGAGCTTTTATAACTTTAACATTTATATAACAGGCAAGCAGAGTACAATTAGCACACGTACTCATTATGCTTGAAATACCACTGAACTTCCACAGGAGTACTAAAGTCTGGGATTAAAAAAAAAAAAAAAATCCAAAAGAACAGGACCATTACAGGGAACAAGTCTAACTTTTTTCCCCTGGAAATATGGGATAGCTCCCCCCCAGTCCCCGCAGATGACTAACTGAGACTCCACAATCTGTTTCATGTCATAACAATTGGTTTAATAACAAAGTTAAGTTTATCATTCCAAGTTTTCCCTTACAAGGGAGATGTGCTGTCCCTGCGTGTGCCCCATCGCTGGGGTGAGCACACATTTGCTGCCCCCTGCTCCAGCCCTCCCAGACCAGGCTGAGGGGAGAAGGGCTGCTATCGGGAGTGGTTCCCACTCCTAACCACTCTCCCGGTGTAATCCAGAGAATCACTGCTAACCTGAAACAAAGGAGGGCAGGTGTTGAACAGACACTGGAACACCACACCCCAGAATAATTAATGCTCTTTTACAAGCACTTGCTCTGTCACAGCAGGATGGTCCTAACTGGCATACGAAGGTGGTGAGGGCTTAGAGCTTTGAAACCGACATTAAGCAGAGGCCTGATAAAATTACAGAAGTAGTATTCTTCATTAAAGAACTTTTTGTCTAAATTAATTATTTGAAGAATTGTTTTGCTGCTTTGAATATGAGAGAATGAAGAACAAAGTTTCCCAGCTATCAAGGGGTGCTTTTATTATATTAGCAAGCTCTGAAAACCTCATTTAAAAATCAAAGCTACTAAAGTTTGGGAAAAAGATACAATACTTCTGAGCTTCATGTATCATTTGAGATCAAAGTATGTGCTATTCTTCTCTCTCATTCTTCAGTTCTCATAGGGCTATAAAGTCATCAAAAAGCTGATAAATCAACGGCAAGCAAGATAGCGAGAACACATTGAAATAAGGTCTTTCCACCAATATTGCTGTCGAGATAGGTATTTTACAACTCACTATCTCTTTTCTTTGCTATTAACTTCAGATCAAGACATTATGACAGTGCTATGAGTGATACCAATAAAGCTACTACTGCTCAGTGTGCAAGCATGGAGAAAGGTTATGTTGTGAGCTGAAGAATCACGCAAAGTACAGCTGCCACTCTGCATCCAGATCACTGCAGAAACAGCTGCGTCTTCCAAGGGTAAAAGGTAACACATTTTCTTTAACTGAAGTTGTCAGTAAAGAGCAATCGCTCATAAACACTCAGGGAAAGTAGAATAGAGCATGCAGTACAATATGCCTGTTCCTGTAGGTGTAAGATAAGATTACATAGACAAAGAGAAGATAAAGGTATCTCAGCTCTGCTAATACATGTGGCAAAGGCAGTGGGAATTCCCCTTTTATAGGGTCAAACGAAGTTCTCAAGAACAATATCCACATCCTCAGAACATCAAACAACTACCCAGTATTTTGTGATGCTCAAAGTAATTTGTAAGAGTTCTCTGGACTCCAGCTGCGTCTTCCCAAGGCAGCAGGATGTGTTGGCTTTAGTAAGCCTCCTGCAGCAAGAGTGACCAGTTTGTCCCCCCCAGACAGCCGACCTGCCGGATGGCATACAGACGACAGAAGTGCTATGAACCTGCACTTCCACCACAGAGGCAGAAAGAATTTCCAGGCACTCAATTTGCACTCTAGTACTTGGATGCATAAATCATACTTCTGTCAGGTAGTAAAACCTGGCAGTTTAGTTTAAACTAGACTACCTCCCTTCTTCAGAGGCTTTATGGAGATTTCACAGTACTGCTACGGGTTCAGGTTAACAGGTAACCAGTAGCACCATGCCACTCAGATTTTTTTGATCCCCTAAATCTCTCAAGAGTCATGGAAATGAAAACTACAGAAATCAACTGGTAGCAAGATATCAGTGAGACCTAACGTTCCAAGATCAAAAAGACGACAACTAAGTCCTGTGAATCCAGGCAATCTGAAGAAAAAAAAATACTCAAGAGGGAGAGAGAAGTGAACATTTAAATATATGCTTACGATGAAAGACAAACCTCCCTCAACTTAGTCCTTTGTGAAGCATTACATTACATCTTTTGCCAATACGAGTTATCCAAACTTAAACACAAAATACAAAAGCTATCACAAAGGCTTTAAAATATTTCAATACTCTTCTGAAGCTAATAAAACATGAACTCAGTAATCTACCATGCAGAAATTGTCAAGGAAAGCTTCCCTAGTGCTGACCTTCAACTTTTTCCATCAATGATTAAGGAATATGGCATACTCTTAATTCATGGAGGTAAACAAAGAAATAATGAAGTTGGGATCTTTATATGCAGGGCTATTATGAAGGAAAGGCAAAACAGCCAAATTCAAAATGCTCGATCAAGATAGAGAGCTGACAAGCTCCACATTTTAGCAGGTATCCAAGGACAGCATGGCTGCTGTCATGAAATTGAAGGCAAGAATTTTTTTTTTTCCAATTTAAAAACTATTAGATATTATTTTCATGTCTTTCAATGATTTAAGTAAATTTACTATTCATACACTTGCACCAGAAATGTTCCAAGGACAGCATGGCTGCTGTCATGAAATTGAAGGCAAGAATTTTTTTTTTTCCAATTTAAAAACTATTAGATATTATTTTCATGTCTTTCAATGATTTAAGTAAATTTACTATTCATACACTTGCACCAGAAATGTAACTCAGTTAAAACAAAACTTGATCACCAACAATCATGTAAAAAACAGTCCTGCTGCATTCAGTGCATTTTAAAGAGTGCTTAGTAAAAATGCTTTTAAAAATCCATATCAGTTATTTCTGACCATCATGAATCTTGATGGGTTTTCTATTATTTTGAAATTTGCGAAGCATGTTGCATTTATAGTAGCATTTTTAATAGAACAAAAAAAAAAACCAAACATTTTATTCATTAACTCTTCAGAACAATACTGATGCTTCCACCATGTCACTTAACCACAGGAAAAGCTCAGGAACTGGGTGACATTTACATGTATCTACCAGCATTGTAACTAATCGCTTATATGAACATAGTCCTTATTGCCTTAGTTATGATCAAAACTGGACACAAGAGGTATTTGTTGGCAAAGGACAGAACAGCACAATACTCTGTTCATGTCATAGGAGATATTTCAAGAGATATTTGCATGTTTTTCGCGTACACCAATTGGCATTTTAGGAACTTTTTTTGTTTTAGCTTCAGGGGGATAGAAGAGCTTGAAGATTCTCATACAAGTTTTTGCACTCCAAACACTGTAGTTCTTTGTAAGTAACGAAGACCATAATCGCCAACTAGCAATTTTCATGATTCAATCCAAGTGGCATGCAAAGAGTGAAACAGCCCACAGTGAAAAGCATTCAATTAAATTCTTTTTAATGATCTGCAAGCATTATCAGAAGACATAAAGAACATTTAAAAATGTGAACTTTATGCTGAGTGTCCTTTTTAAAAGCTAGCAGCACAAAATATTTTTTGAACAGACCAGACATCTCTGTTGCATCCCGAACAGTAGTACATCATTTTGTTGTCCATGATTTTTGACTCGCAGGTTTTGCAAATGCTGATACATCAAGACTTTTACCACTGTTGCACTGTTCGTATAAAGTCTGAAAGTTAATAAAAACATAGGTATTCAGGTGAACACAGTTGTATCGCACAAGAATTCAAACTGTATCTTTACAACAAACATTACCACTTGAAATAAGTCATCACATACTGAAATATTCCAAACTCCATACTAAAATTTCTCTCTCAATTCAGAAAATAAAGCTACACTTAAGACAGCATAGTTGTACCAGTTGTAGTGCAATGTAGTGCCTAAAAGAAAACACATACACTGACTTAGCAGCACGAACAAAGGTACAGAGCTTCACAAGTTGGCAGAGAACAAGCTAATTACCAAGCTTTAAAATCAAGTTTACTACATTAATTGTCTCTGCTATGGAAACACCAGCACGGAAGAGAGGTATTTGCGTACTCAGGGTGAGCAAGCTTTATATGAGATAGGAAAATCAGTGGCCACAAACATAGCTACATTAACAATATCGTTAAAAGGATAATCTCTTGTTCACCCCCATATTTAAAAAAAAAAATCAGGTATGACTAGCACTGTAAGTGTAAACAAACTTCTTTAGATTTACTTTATGCATACTGAATTTGCTCTCCTCCCCATGAAAGGAGCTTTGCATTCCATCTCAACTTATTACATATTTGACCACGACCACCGCTTCTGAGAGACAGGTGGAAAGAAGTTGGTGAAGAGTTACCAAGCTTCTCTTTCAGGCAGTAAACAGAGAGGCCAGAATCGTAATACCTCAGCGTACCAGGACTAATTTACACATAGCGATGCATTAACAGTTCAGCGACTTCCAGGAAGTAAGAACAGTTGCAGTCCAAAAGCTTGCACACTTGACAGATCAATTTAGATCATTTCTCCATAATGATGGTTCTTAAATTAGAAGACCTGCCACAGTTTTTGGGCAGCTTAAAAGCAAAGCAGCACAGTAAGGACTGTTTTAGAGAGGAGATGCGGTGGCAGTGGGGAATTTCGAAATAAATAATAATACTGGGAGGTGGAAAGGAAACAAAAAGCTAAAATCAAGATTACCATCATCCTTTCAACACTTCTCATTCAGAAGGCTGTGGAGAGATTCTGCATGCTTGCAAACAAACACACTACAATGTGTAATGTTTTTCCAGCTGTGGTTAAAGCTTTGATATATGTACCCTTTCAGCTTTCACTACCAAACATTCTAACCTTTGTTTGCACGAACATGTACTACCATACAAAATAGAAAAGAAAATTTACTTACCCTAGCAGCTCTAGAAATAGAGTTAGGAGAATTCAAGCCAACAAGCTGACCAAGGATACGTTTCATTTCCTCTGTTGTTCCTTTTGCATTTGGAACACCTGCAATTCATTTATAATCATGCTAAAGCTGTATACAACTACATACAAATTACCAGTGCAGTTTGTAAGAGGTATACAAAAAGTCAGTTTTGAAATGAAGAGTTTAAGAATTAAAATATGGAAGTCTTTTCTGAAACATACATAGGCACAAAACAAAATAGATTGTTACGCCAGCAAGTGGAAAGTACATCTAAGAGTAAAGCATTTTGTTTTCTTAAACAGAATTATAAATACTATTTAATAGAAATCTATTTTAAAATAAATGTACCTGTTTGACAATGACTTTGAATTTGAACATAGGGATGTATCAGCAGCTCCGAAACAGATATTCTTTGTTTAGGATTTCTTATTAAACAGCGCTGCAAATGAAAAAAAGAAGAATGCTTTGCCTATAAACTAAGAATTTTCCTAAGAATTAACAGTGAGGATATTTAAAAGACCCTGTAGATGCACATCAGAACTTCTTACTGCCAAACTACATACTCAGAAAGACTCAACTCAAAATACAATAACAGATTAACCTAATTGCCTTCATTAGCAATTATCTTCAGAGTAAAGTTTGGTATCCTGTTTTACTCAAGCAACAATGTCAGAAGAGGTGAAGACCAAAACCCACAACGTCCTTTTATTCTGCATGACACAAAATAACACTGAGATTTGAAAATTAAGGGGATAAGCGTTTCTGGATTTCAGTTTGTTACCTGCTGAGCAACACAATTAGGGTTCGAATAAAAGCATAAGCCAAGTTTTAAAAGCAGGCAAATATGCAGGGTGAGGGAAAGGGATGGCAAGTACAAAAGCTGCTGTATTTACTTTGGGTTGTTCAGCCGAAGGGGTTAAGCCAGACTACTTTACGTATTTACTTTTTTATTTGCTACTGAGCTGAAAACAGACTTTTACTATGGAAGCTATATGAAGTAGCTCTAGCTTCATTAAGTCTTCTTTTGGAATAAGGCCCGTTACTACAAGTAGTAGTGAGCATTTATTTGTGAAAAAGGTTTCTCAAGCACAACTCATTCAGTTTAAGAAAGTATCCTTTAAATAAAGAAGTTGCCATTACTTGAATCAAAATTAATCTTAAGGTACAGTTACCTTTAGCACGTCTTGAAGATCCTTCTCAGCAATATCTGGAAATTCTATTTCATAGCTAGGATCAACGATAGCATGCAGTTTATTAATTGGATTTGTTATATGTTGAAATGGAGTCCTTCCATATGTCATGCAGTACAAAATGCATCCCAATGACCACACATCACTTTTGGGACTTATCTAATATAAAAACAAAAAAATTAAGATTACTCCTCACTTAAGGAACTGTACCTTCAGTCAATTTATCATATAATTGCACAGTTATTTCACTTAACAGGATATCTATTTTGCATTGAATAACAGATCTTAGTAACTATCACACAAAAATCACCAAGACAGCATGCCATTATTTACTAAGACAGTGATGTGGCTTCATTCAGTAATACTCCATAAGAAAGTTATTTTTATTAGTTATCTTTGAAAATCAACTTATTTAAATAACTAACTTAAAATAAAATTAAAAGTAGTCCTTAACAAGTTGAACAGCAGGATTCTAATTTCACATTTATAAGTAAATACAAATAAAAGCATACTAAATTAATTCAATCCAGAAACCAGTGAGACATCACAGCTATGTCCCCAAAGTGGGAAGCCATAGTTTCAGCTCCTCTGGGTTTAAAGGAATCAGATCTAGATTTCAAACACCACACCTGGGCTGTTCCTTTCAGGAGTTTCCGCTTCTCCTGTTGAAATTAAAGCACTAAGAAAAGCATATACAGTTGGAGGAGTGGGGGAGAGGAGGGAGGTGGGGAAAGAGGCACACAGACAGCCTGACTCCCAGCACAATGGTTAGATTTTTGCTTAGATGAGCTGAGCTCCAGAACAAGTCTGTACTTTGCATACAATTTTTAAAAATGTAAAGGTAAAACTTCTAAAGGTAAAACGTGTCAGCCTTAACAAAAGAAATCCATCTATAAAACATGCTATTCTGTGTTTAGAAAGACAAGATTGTGTTTCACTACATTTTAATACTTCCATTCAACTGTTAAAAAGTCACAATCTTTGAGCGTGTATATGCACGCACATATGATTATGGATTATTTTTTTAATACCTTTCCACAAAGCTATGAACCCCTTAACTGAAGTTTGACTGCCAATGTGAAATTGCTTTCCTTCAGCACTTTCCTCATCATTCACATTCCGTTGCCCCAGTGAAATTATAAAAAGCTCTACAATACATGGTACTCTGTAGCATAGAAAAATCAATAGGATACACAGAATTCATCCATGTGTTCCCTAGAATACTAGAGTTTATTATATCATCTTTTAAAATACCTTATTAGGTATCACTCATTTCTTGCAAAACCTGCCTCTCACTTAAATGAGTTAAAAAATGCTATAATGATACAAGCATCATCATATCTTGTTGTTTAAGCAAACACACTAACAATGGTTTATACCAGAAAGCAAATTTTATTCCCTTCAGAAAAAAAGATACGCCCAAGCCTGTGCATCAGTTTTGCTTTCAATTTTATTCATTAATTCAGCACTTACATTTTTCTAAACACCATCTGCAAAATGCTTTTAGGTAATTGAGAGGAATAAACTTAACCTTCAATCTCTGCCCACCATCATCATGGCACAATGGATTTCCTTGTGTTCTAGTTTCAGTGGAAGATTGAGAAAACTAAGTCTTACGATATATGCCTGAATTCCTTTCTTCTTAACATGAAGGGAATAGGAGAAAAAAAAGATCATGTTACCTTAGATCGAGATTTCCCGTTTTCTCCATAGGAAGACATATCTTTTATTGCTTCGGGTGGCATATAATTCATCGTGCCAACCTAGCCATAAAAATGTAAAAGTATTCCTTTAAGTGAAGCATGCACTTGATTTAACTCACTTGATAAAGAGTTAGATTTTTATCTCAAAGCACTGAAAAGCGTCTTGAAAATTTGTTTTTATTAAGGCCGAAGGCCATTATTATAATGTTTATGTGTATATATGTTCATATATATGTTATAATGTTATTTGTTTATATACATATAAAACCATTCAGCATAAAATTTCAGTATTCACTGAAGTTATTACATTAATCAACATAATCAGCAAGTACTGTAGTACTTTACAGAAAAGCGTACATCCATTTTCCAGAAGTATTTTACCTGAGAATCTTTAATGATGCTTGTCACATCTGGTTGCATTTGGTTTGCAATGCCAAAGTCAATTAGTTTTAACATTCCATCAACTATCAGAAAGTTTGCTGGTTTCAGATCACTGTGAATAATGCCTGCAAAATAAGAGTTTAAAGTCAATCCAGGTTTAGTCAATCCAAGCTACTACCGAAGTATGGGGTGTTTATTGCTTAATTCGCATAACCCTTGCACAGAGAGAAGGTGCAGATCAGCTTTACCTGGCCAAAACCAAATTATTCTTTGCAGATTTCATAAAAGTATTTCCATTTCTTTTTAAACAGTCAAGACTTGCATGAGTTTATCGTTTGAATTATTACTTATTCGAATCTGCAGGCACCCCAAAATAGCTCAAAGATACTTGAGTTGCATAGTTTCTCTCAGTTAGGGATAAGCCCTCTAGCTGTATGTGCACACTTCCATACTGAACTGTTGTTCTGGATCATTTCAATGGCCTGTCCACTCCTGTGGCTTTCTCTTAAACAATTAGCTAAGCAGGTATTTAAAGAATTATATTGCTTAATCTGATGTTTTCTGCCTCCTGACCTCAAAGGTACCATTCGTGAAGGATTACATGACTGACCTCTCACAAACCCTACTGACATGATTTATTATGAATTTCAGTTATTACCCATTAAACCAACCAATCCATCTTTATATTTTGTAAAATTGTTTCAAAGACACTTCACGTAGTATGTAGCCTGTGTTTTAGTAGATTTTGCTGTCTTTATATTATTGAAGATTCTAGTGTTCTTGTGCTGTGAAGAGGTAATGCTCTCTGCTATATGTACAGGTCTCCACTTTTTTTTTCTTAAATAGGAGAAGGATCCAAATCTGCTCTCCCCTTTGCATTATACAGCCAAACAGAATACAGATGCATGCACTTCAATTACGTAGGTAAAGATGAAAGGAAGGCCTGAAGAACTATGAGGAAAAAGCTGAAACACTACGTCAAAGTAAAGACCAGAGAGCTGTGTAAAAGCTGTCTATTAATGTCAAAGCTTCTTTAGAGAGGATAAGGAGCTGAAATTTGAGTCTAATGGAGAACAAGAAGTATTGGGAGTATACACCATAGTCTAATACAGAAAAGATTATTTTCTGGCTGTTGCAAGGAAATAGAAAGCATTATACAACCGTGATCCTTGGAGATCCCTTTGAGTTAGAAAAGTAAGTCTACCTCTGCATCAAGATTTACTCGTCTTTTATTTCACTGAAACTTTTTTCACCATACAGTAAATACCTGTCTTTGAAGATCACTAGGCTGACACCAAAACTAAGAGCAGTACCACCTCCAAAATTTAAACACATTCATGTTACTTCTGCCATATAACCTATACAAATACCTAGAATTATTTAAGAGTACCATATTCATGGATTGTGTGAACAGCTTCCAGCATATTTTTCCAATAGCTCTTTCGTTCCAGTGGATCAATGTTTTTTTTCTTTTTGAGCCAGCTATTGAGATCAATATTTCCACACTCCATTACCATGTAGATATGCTGATCAGTAATTTCACTAAAAATAAATAAATATACTTATGTTAAAATTCAAGGCAACTTCTTTATATCAAAAGATACTGGTGTAATAAAATTCATGTTTACTCACTAGCCATAAAGGCGGATGATCTTATCACTATGTTGCTGCAGTTTACTCAAATGAGCAATTTCATTCTTATAGCTCTCAACAGTCTGTTGATCAGCTTCCTCTAGATTCACATATTTGACAGCAAACAGCTGCTTCTTCTCATTCAGTACTTGAAACACCTGCAAAACAATATCAGTTAATAACTTCATGCAATCCTAATTTTGATTTACTATGGTCCTTCACCTCACCACAGCCAGAATTTCAAAGAAAAGGGGTACCTTTTCAAAAGGAAGAAGCAACATGAAATTTACAAAGCTCACACAAGTCAGCATGAAGAAAAATCAAGAACGAAGCCACCAGTTACAACAGAAACAACCCTCTATCAGAAACCATCTTGGTACCACATTATATTTCACTAGATGTGTTTGATCACAAGTCTGAACTGTTCCTAAAATAAAGAAGGCAAAATAACACCTCGCACAGATATAAGGGTTTGACCTGCCACTGCACACCCATTTCATCACACCAAGATGATTTGGAGGTTAGACCACATGGCACATGAGAAGAGGCTAAGAGCACTGAGTCTGTTCAGTCTTAAGATGAAAAGGCTACAGGGAATCTTATTGCTGTCTTCAGCTACTTAAAGGGAAGGTATGAAGACGACTCCTCTTGAACCATTGAAGTATGAGAGGCAACAGGCATAACTAACAACAAGGAAAATTCCAATTAGATATCAGGTAACTTTTTTCATCATCATGTAGTCAAACAGGGGGACAGGCTGTCCAGAGAGGCTATGAAATCTCCATCCTTAATGATACTCAAAACTCGACTGCAAGAGACCATGAGGAACCTGCTCTGTTTTGGCCTTGCTTTAAGCAGACCATTGGACCAAGGGACATGCAGAGGCCCCTTCCATCCTACCTCATTCTACGATTGTATGCTGTCAACACAGGAGGTTTTTCTTCCTGGAGGTCCCTGCTGACTGGAAGCTAGCCAATGTTATTCTAATTTACAAGAAGGACATGAGGGAAGACCCAGGAAACTACAGACCTGTTAGTCAAACCTCAGTTCCTGGAAAAATTACGGAGAAGATCATACTAGGTACTATTGAATGACAGACAAAATGCAATGCAGAGGGATCGAGAAAGAT